GTTGCCAACTTGTTGCTTTCCGATGCTTAAGATGTCCCGCGGCACAGGCTGGTAGTGCCCGGCATGTCACCTGCTGCCCCTGGGAGCCTCGGAGCGCCTGTGCCCCCTCTCTGCTAGCCCCAGGAATAGAAGAGGGATCTTCCCTTTTTCTTTAATTTTGTGACGTGAATCTTCACTATTTTTTTTTTAGAGAGTTTTTTGCTATAGGGCACGTGTGGTTGCCAGAGAGAGAGACACAGATAAGCGAGAAATCACCCCCTGGGTGATGGTCACGCCGCAATCCCTTCTCCATTCTCCTCTCGGGATCTCGGACACGCATGCACACGTGCCCGGCGCGAGTTTAAGTCACTGGGTCTGGGACTTGAACCACAGTCGACTACATGGGAGTCCAGCGACGTAATCATTACGTCAACTGCTGGTCCCAAATTTTCACTATTTTTGCACATATTTCCTCCCGTTTTTGTTTGAGCATATTTTTGGGATTCTTATTATTTGGAGGTTGTACTTTTATTCATCTTCATTTCTTTAAAAATTTTCTAAATTAATTTTATTTTTTACATTTAATCACTGTGTATCATTACAGCATAACAAGTGCATTTTCCTATGAGAATACACCACATTTCAGTCTTCCTCATTAACTTTTGTCTAAGCCTTCCCTGCCTCCTCCCAGGAGGGAACGCGCCCCTCCTCCTCCACGCCTGTCCACGCCTTCGCTGTGTCCGCTCTGCTGTTCCCCCACCCCTCCACCATTTTCACATCCGCATTCCTTCCTGCTCTATTTGTCTCTCATTCTTGTTTCCTACTGGCGGTCTCTCCTATTGTCTTCCACGCTTATGTGGACCTTGGCCAGTCTGTCTCTTCGACGTCTGAAGTGTCCGCCCTCAGGAGCTGGAGCTGTGGGTCGCCGTGGCCCTGGGACTGCAGTCTGGCAGTGGGGACAGGCACTGATGGCCCGGGCAGAGCAGGGGAGACAGGCTGCAAGTTGTTTCACACAGAAGCTCTGCTCGGTCTCAGCGCTGCTCCCCAGATGGCAGGCTCTGCGGCAGGTTCCCAGGGTCATTCGTGACCTCTGTGGTCTCCGGTGTTTCCTGTGGGGTCGAGCTGAGGCAGCCCCGAGTGGCCCGGGCAGCTGGGGGCATCAGAATGAGGCGCACAGGCCTCGCCTTGCACTTTCTGAACTCGACCGCACGGGCCCAGCAGCCTGGCTCGTCTGTCAGTTCATTTATTTATTTATTTATTTATTTACGTAGGTTTTGCCATAGGGCACGTGTGCTTGCTGGAGACAGAGAGTGGGAATGAGAGGGAAATGGGAAATCACCCCCGGGGGATGGCCATGCTGTAATGCCATCTCTTCCACTCTCCTCCTGGGATTTTGGACACACGCACATATGCCTGGCATGATTTTCAAGCTGCCCGGTCCAGGACCCAAACCATGGCCAGCCCTGTAGGGGTGCAGCTTCTTACCCACCGTGCACTGCTCTCCTGCAGTCTGCCTTTGCACCAGCCCCCAGTGGTCCCGACGTGGCCCGGGCTGAGTGCCGAGGGCCGGTCTTCTCCGCGTCCCGCATCCCTTCTCTTTTCACCCCGCTTGCCGCCTGTTCACGGCCCCGCCCCGCCGAGCTCTCTGGCAGTGGCTCCGCCTTGGTCACATCCTACCGCAGTGCCAGCCTACACTGACGTTGCCGGCAGACCTGGCACGGCTCTTTTTCATGGAATTCTCTTTTTTTATTGCCAGAGGGCACATATGCTCCACAGGGTGAGGGGAAATCACCCCTTTGTGGGGAGTGCTCACGCTGCGATCCTTTTCCGTTCTCCATCCTGTCAGAATTGAGGGAACACATGCGTGCATGCGTGAGTGCTCATGTGTACACGCACTCATGCATGTGCATACACACACACACCACTGGTGTGCTTTTCAAGCCTCGGGCCAGGGCTCAAGCGGTACTCGGTCAGAGGGGTCTGCCGAGCCCTGGGGCAGCCCTTCGTGGCACTCTCCAGTGGCTCCGAGAGGCAGACCCCTCTCCTTGGAGCTCAGGCCTTGGCGGCCGGGCCAACGTGTCTGCGTGCTCTGTGTACGGCTCCCCCTCTGCCACAGAATGGGCCGAATCGTCCCCTAATAAGCTGGGGGTAGCGCTTGCCAAAATGTTGGCTAATATTTGTCTTCTGGTAGTTATAAAAAAGCACATCATTTGTTAATAAATGCTGGTTTGTTTTTCAAGGACTGCTAGAACAATATAAGTCCATTTGTATTAATGTTAGCTGTTATTAGCTAACATGAACTGAACACCGACCAGGAGCTTAACCTGTCCTCGAGAGCCCGTGAGCACTTGTACAGAATTCTGATACGCTTTAATGAAAACATCTAAGACGGAAAGCCAGTGCAATCCGGAAGAGCCCGCCGGGTCTCACTGGCGCATCCGGGCTGGCTGCTGTGTCTGCCGCGTCTCCAGCAGCCCCGATTCTGGCCCCGTTACGCTCGCAGAAGCCCCGCCTGAGGCCGGTCTCACCCTCTGCACCTGTCTCTGTCCCCTTGTCCTCAGATTATTCACAATGACCGGGCACCTCCTGGACAGCTCAGAGGACCTGCAGGACAATCATTTCTACGTCGCCGCAGGGCTGGAGACCTTCAAGCCGGTCCCCTACTGGAAATCCCCGAGGGTCCCCAGCGAGGTCCAGCTGTGAGTATGCCGTATGCTGCTCATTCCTGAGTTCGTGATTCGCCTCTCCCAGCCCCTCCCAGATACCTCCAGTTCAGCTGTTGGTTGATTTTTCTGTAGTGCATTCGCCTCTCCCAGCCCCTCCCAGTCACCTCCAGTTCAGCTGTTGGTTGATTTTTTCTGTAGTCCAGCTTAGTATGAAGGGTCTTTGAAAAGTTCACGAAAAACACATATTGTGAAACAATTATGCATGGATTTCAAAACTGTTTGCACCAAAATAAACTTGTACTTCCATTGTTTTCCTGTGAACTATTAGAAGTCCCTTCATATTCTCATTTTATATGGGCACAGTTTTAGATTCTGAAGATCAGGCTTGGAGGACCCCTGCTCTGTCCTCTGGGCGACAGTAAGACTGCATCAGGCCCTTCGTTTCTTCCCTGGGACACCAGGGCTGGGAGCCGCAGGGACCAGAGCTGCATGTGCAGAGCAGTTCCGAGCTGGGGGCCGCTGGGTGCAGCCGGCATGAGGCTGGGCCCCGCCCTCTGCTCGCCGTTGCTCAGGTACAGCACAGTTTGGGCAGGCTATCAGTCTCTCTGCGGTTGTCGTGTAGTTCCTGAGACCTCACAGTGCATATACTTCTGGGCGTGAGGGAGGGGACAACTGGGAGGAAGGTGAGGATGTTTGTGGGACCTTTCATCTGTCACCCAGGAGGACAGGATGTCTTCTCTCGGGACTGGTAGCCCACTGCGGTTCCTCCATCTAGTGTAGACAAGTAAGACTCGCAGTTAAACACGGCTTCGGCCTAATGCTTCCTTGGAGAGGCGAGTCAGTGAGGTGCCCAGGGCTTCACCGAGGCAGCGAGGCCCAGTGTTTGGCCCCATTGCTTCCCTGCTGCGGTTTCCCACCCACCCGCGGAGAGCCCTTCTCTCACTCTGGTCAGGGAAAAGCCGTGGGGCCCGGTGGCCTGGTACGGTCCACTGTAGGAGCTCCCTTTCTCAGGTCGCGGTTGTGTGTCAAACCTCAGCGTTCCCAGCTCCTGTAAGGAGCCCCAGACAGCTCTCCAACCTGCGTTGTATTAGAGACAGAAAGCTCTTCCTCAGTCTGGGAGCCTCGGTGGCCACGGCTCTGGTGAGAGGGGCCGAGCTCATGCTGGGCGAGGGTGGAGATGGGAGCCGGGCTGTGGGCCTGCGTTGGGTAGGCCGTGCTGACCCCTGCTCCTGCACTTACTGGCTGCGTGCACAGAGCCTGTTTCCTTTGGTGAAAGCCAAGAGTGCTGTGTGGATAAGCTATGATGGGGAAGAGTCTGTACGTTATAAAGTGCTTCTGAAGTGTGTTGTTTTCATGCCATTCATCGGGTTAAGCTCAGCAAGGCTGATTTGTAAGACTGAAATTCAAAGGCGTCTCAGATGAAAGCCCAGATTAGGGTGGAGGCCCCCGTTCGTTGCCTGGAGTCCGCTAGGAAGACAGACGAGGAGCTTTGGACACCCACCCTGTGCCCTGTGGCCAAGGCCATGAGACCTTTGCTGCTCAGGGGCTGAGCTCTCCTGCCATTCATCGCTCACCTTCTGAAAGGCCGGCTCTATCCCTACCAGGCAGCGGGGAGCTCTCCGCGTCGGCATGCAGCTCTGCCCGCTCTGCCTCCCTGGGGTGTACGTCAGGTGCTCTGATTCCCTTTCCCTGCGTTCCGCGGGCTCTGCTCTAACATGGGCACCAGGCCTGCCCGTTCCCATCTCAGGTGTTGGTGTCGCCGAAACCGGTGGGGCCACCTCACTGGCGGCTGAGCCCTGACCGAGGCCCTGTAGTGAGCAGTGCGTCCAGCTGGGGCAGCTTAGGGGGCTTACCGGGAGCCTTCCTCACAGCTGCCCCGCTGGCAGGCCTTTTAATCGCCATTATCTTGAGCAAAGAGACAGAGGCGACACCGTTCGCCTCACTGTGGACAGGACAGACAGCTTATTTGTGGAGAGCACCATGCAATGGCCACCCACCCCGACGCACAGCCTGGGTTCCATTGCACAAGTGCTGCAGTGTTGAGAAAGCCGGGTCCCCTCTGGCACGTGGCAGGGCTGTCCCCTCCCTGCCCTGGCTCTCGTGTTGCTGGGATTTCCCCTCGAAGGCACAGAAAGGCTCCCTCCATCCTGCCTGCCGAGGACGGCCCCACAGGAGCCTGACTCCCAGCAGAGGGTGGGGACAGCCTGCATGTCCCGATGTCGTGACTAGTTGTTGCCGTTCCTCACGGCACAGCAGGTGGACACGGCACAGGGGATGAACACAGCACCGGGGGTGGATGCGGCACGGCGGGTGGACGCGGGATGGTGGGTGGACGCGGCATGGTGGGTGGATGCGGCATGGTGGATGGACGCAGGACGGCGGGTGGACGTGGATGGCGGGGGGGCAAGGCAAGGGGGGGGGGGAAGGGCGGGGGGGG